TTTTTTTTTTTTTTTTTAAACAAGGTCTTGGCCAGGAGTGGTGGTGCATGCCTGTAATTCCAGCTCTTGGGACTTGGAGGCAGGAGAATTGCCACAAGTTCGAGGCCAGCCTGGACTATATAGCGAGTTCAAGGCTAGCTGGAACTACTTAGGGAAACCCTATCTCAACACACAAACAACAAAACCAAGATCTTGCTATGTAGCCCAGTTTTGAGATACTCCTGCCCAGCCTCCCAAGTGCTAGGATTACAGTACAGGAATGTGCCATCATACCCAGCAGGAGTTTTTTGTTTTTTGGTATCAGGGATCAAACTCAGGTCATTTTGCTTGTGAGGCAAGAGGCAGAACCACTGAGCTAAATCCCCAGCCTGAGGAGTTTCTTTGTAGTGCTCCTGAGTCTCTTCTCCCATACACTGTGTTCCAGACTTCCAAGATGCACAGGTATCACACCAAAGTAGGCAGCAGAACATAGTGGTTAAGAGCATGGAATGTGGTCCTGGGGCCAGGATGTAGGTCAGTGGTGCTGTGCCTGGCTGGCAAGTCCAAGGTCCTAAGTTTGATTCCAGGTACCAGGGGGAAAAAAAGGAGCATGGAATACTCTGGGATTGAATCCTGATCTTACTGCTTATTAACTCTAAGGCCATGGGCAAATGACTTAACTTCTTAGCACCCCTCTTTCCTCAGCTAGAAAATGTAAACAATTATAACTTTTGGTTTTTTTGAGTTCAGGCTGGCCCTGAACTCACTGTGTAGCCCCAGCGGGCCTCACACTCCAGGCAATCCTCCTGCCTCTGCCTTCCAAGTGCTGGGATTACAGATATGCGTGGTGGCTAATTTATATAGTTGTTGTGAGAATTAAATGAATGAATATTTTTTAAAAAAGTGCTTAGAGCAGCATGTGGCATATACTAAATACTCAATGAATGTTAGCTATAATAATAATGATGAGGGCCGGGATTTAGCTGAGTGGCACCATACCTGCCTCATAATTACAAGGTCCTGAGTTCAATCCCCAGTACCAAAATAATAAGACTAATAATAATGATGATGGTTCTATCATTGGCATTTAACTCAGGTATTCCAAACCTGTTAGCCAGCTTGGATACAAGTTTTGTTTGGTTAGCCCAAGATTTTTTGTTTAATTAAGATGTAATTCATACACCATAAAATTCACTGTTTTAGAGCTGGACATAGTGGCACAGGTCTGTAATCCCAGGACTTGAGAGGCTGAGGCAGGAGGATTGCTGTGAGTTTGAGGCTAGCCTGGATTACATGGTGAGTTCAAGGTCAGCCTGGACTACATAGCAAGGCCCTGTTTCAAAAAACAAAACAAAAAAACAAACACCCCCAAAACAAACAACTGAATTGTACATTATAAGGTCCTTTGTGACTGGCTTCTTTTACTCAGAATTTTTTCAAGGTTCATGTGTATATTAACTTGTATTAGAACGTCATCCTTTATTATTATTTGTTTGGGTGTTTTTGAGACAGTATCTTGCTGTGTAGTCCACGCTAGCCTTAAACCCACTGTGTAGCCCAGGCTGACCTTGAACTTGAAATAATCCTGCTGCTTCAGCTGCCCAGGTTTTGAGATTACAGATATTCGAGACCATACCTGTCTTTCATTCCTTTTTATTTACATATTATATTCCATTATATAGTTTTCTTGACCCATTCGTCAATTGATGGACATTTCTATTTCCACTTTTTAGCTGTTATGAGCAAGACTGTTGTTAATATTCATGCACATGCTTTTTTTGTTTTTTGTTCTTTGGATTTTTTTTTTTTTTTTTTTTTTTTTGCAGTACCAGGGATCAACTCAGGACCTTGTGCTTGCAAGGTAGGCACAGTGCCACTGAGCCAAATCTATGGACCATGCACATGCTTTTTTAGTGAACACAATTTGCCCTTTTTCTTGGGCATATCCCAGTTGAATTGCTGTGTCCTATGGTAGCTCTGTGTTTAACTGTCTGAGGGTCTGCCAAATTGTTTCCCATAGTGACTGCACTATTTTACATTCCCACCAAGAATTATGAGGGTGCTAGTTTCTCCACATCCTAGCCAACACTTGTTATTTTTAAAATTCCCCTTTTATTTGTGTTTAATTATAGCCTTGCTAGTGGGTGGGAAGTGTCAATTTATTGTGGTGTGTGGTCATTGTTTGTATGTCTCAGTCTGGGGATTGAACCTAGGGCATCTCAGCTCTGCCAAGCACAGTACTTTACTGAGCTACACCCTTCAGCTCTCATTGTGGTTTTGATTTCTGGGCTTTTTGCTAGGTGTGGGGGGTGTATCAGGGGTCGAACTCAGGACCTTGTGCTGAGCTAAATCCCCACCTTGCCCCCCTTTTTAAAATGTTGCCCAGACTAGTCTCTAACGTTGTGTTCAAGCAATCCTCTAGCTCAGCCTCCAAAGTAGTGGAAGCTAAATGCACCCAACAAGGTTGTTTCCCTTTTTTGTTTCCATGATTACTAATGATGTACATCCCTCTCTGTGCTTATTGGCTATTTGTATATCTTCTTTGGTGAAATATCTATTGATTGATTGTTTTTAGTTTTTTTTTTTGGTACCGGGATTGAACCTGGGAACTGGCGCTTGTGAGGCAGACAGCGGAACCACTGAGCTAAATCCCCGGCCCAGTGAAATATCTATTGAAATTCTTTACCCATTTTAACATTGAATTGTCTTTCAATTGTTGAGTTATAAGTACATATTCTGAAAAAAAAAGTATATATTCTGGATACAGGTCTGTTATGAGTTATATGATTGGAAAAATTTTTTTCCATTTTGTAAATTTTCCTTTCATTTTCTTAATAGTAACATTTGGCATACAAACATTTTTAATTTTGATGAAGTCATTTATTGATCTTGTCTTTGGTTACCTACCTTCAGTGTCATATCTAAGAAACTTGTCGGCTGGGCGTGGTGGCACATACCTATAATCCCAGCACTCAGGAGGCTGAGGCAGGAGGATCGCTGTGAGTTCCAGGCCAGCCTGGGCTACATAGTGAGTTCCAGGTCAGTCTCAACTACATAGTTGAGAAAGTAAAAATAAAGAAAAGAAAAGAAACATGTTGTCTAGTCTAAAAGACGTGAAGATTTATACTCCTGTGTTTTCTGAGACTTCTGTCATTCCATCTCTTGTATTTAGGTCCTTGGTCCATTATGTGTTAGTTTCTGTATAAGGTACAGTCTAACATCATTATTTGCATGTAGATATCTATGTGTCTCTGCACTGTTTGTCAAAAATACTATTCTTCCCTCATTTGAAAATCTTGTCATCCTTATTAAAAAATCAGTTGACCATAAATGCAATAGAATAGGGCTGGGGATTTAACTCAGTGGTTCTGCTACCTGCCTTGCAAGCACAAGGTCCCAAGTCTGATTCCTGGTACCAAAAATGCAATAGAAAATGTCTGTCTTTAAGATAGAAACATACAATCATGATTAAAATAGCTTTGTAGTAGAGAGTGGTGGCTCATGTCTGTAGCCCAGCACTCTGGAGGATTGCCATGATTTTGAGGGCACCCTGGGCTATATAGTGAGTTCAAGGCCAGCTTGAACTATAAAGTGAGAACCTGTCTATAAATAAATAAGTAAGCAAGTAAATAAATAAATAGCTTTGAATAAATAGGGAAATTAGGAAATGTGAGCTTTCTAACTTTGTTGTTTTTCAATAATCTTTTGGGCTAGCCTGGGTCCCTTGCATTGCTGTATGAATGCATGCCTGTAACCCCAGCACTTGGGAGGCTGAGGCTGGAAGATCACCATGAGTTCAAGGACAGACTGCATGGTATAGTGAGTTCAAGGCCAGTCTAAGTTACATAGCAGGCCTGTCTCTCAGGACAAAAA